CCCGCCCCCGCCCCCAGCCTCCATCGAATAACTGAGGAGAATGACTCCCTGGGCACCGCCTCTTCCGGCTATTGCTCCGTGAGATGACCGGAAGTGGGGCTGTGCACCGGAAGTTGGGGCGTTTCCTGCGAGATTGGCTTCCCCAAGATGGCAGCGCCCTTGTCAGTGGAGGTGGAGTTCGGGTGAGTCGCAGAGCTGGGGCGCCGTAGGGATGGACTGAAGTCGTCGTGCCCGGAACTCTCCTCCCTCTGCCCTGAGGCCTGTCACAACCGAATCGCCGAGGCTCTCGGAGCCTGCCCTGAGCTACGCTACCGGCCTTGGAGAGTCTAAGGGGCTCGGCCTCCCTGGCGACTAGGCCGTATGTCCCAGAATAGAGGCGCAAGTTCTGGTGGGGAGGTGCGTTGTAGGTACTATTCCTTGATGCCCTGCCGGACTCAGAAGGCGGGATGGTTAGCAGGCAGCCTCTCTACCTTCTTTAACAGTCTCATTGGCCTGGAATGTGAGATCCTAGAACCGAGAATGGCCACCCTTCAAGCTCTGATGTCTTCTTTCGGGCAGCAATTTCTGCTTACACGGCTTTGGGGGGCTCTGTTAGTCGTGGGATGTGTGGCCAGAATGGGACCTTTTTCTTCTCATTCCCAAGACTTGGAGTGCTAAACACACCTGAGCCCCTTGCAGGACAGTCAGTAAACTTGCTGAGTGCCTTCTGCACATCTTGAGTCACGTGGAGATAGGGGGATAAATAAGATAGCAGTGAGGGAAACTAACACTGACAATGAAGTTTGCACAAGATGAAAAGTGCAGCAATTAGGGGAACTTACCGATAGCTGAAGAACCACAGAAGGGAGGAAGTCTCTTGGGGGCACTATTTTCTCTCTCCTACAGACAGAAGCAGCCAGCGTTTATGGTGTCACATGGTTTCAGAGCTGGGAAAATCAGCAGAGCTCAGAGAGAAGGCAAAGAAACTCAGGCCCTAAGACATGGGTGGTGTAATTTCTAGAGTCACATGGAAAAGCTGGGAATAGAATGAGTGTGCATGTGTGTAGAAGATACACAAGCCAGGCTTATGTAAAAGAAAAAGTCTGGGATTGGAACCTAAAACCTCTGCCCATAAATGCCTTTCCTTCAATTGGGTGCCCTCAGTTTCTTTCATGTTTTCCCTTCATTGGGTAGTTCATTCACCAACTATTTATTGAATGCCCACCATGTGCCAGGCAGTGAGCCAGACACTGAGGATACAAAGATAAATAGAACTCTGTCCATGCCCTCCAGTGGTCAGCATTTCTGTCCCTTAGAAGAGAGTAGTCTCATGAATGTTGAGCGTGTTTTAACTGATGGTATTGTCTGGCCCCTTGGATCCAATCAGAACTATACTGGTCTGGCCTGCTGACTATTTTGCCTCACTAACCTTTGGCCCAGCTGTGCCCTCAAAGAACTGGGAGTTCTAGGCATTCCTTGCTGCCTTATAGGCCTCAGCAGAACTGGAAAGGGAGAAGCTGCAGACTGCCCATTAAGATTTGTCTGTAGCCTTGCATTCTCATTCAGTCAGACCTGGTATTCATTCATCAGAAATGTCTTTTATGTGTCAGGCACTGTTCTGGCAGCTGTGGAGAAGTCATATGAGGAAGATTATGATCCTTACCATCCAGAACTTAAGATCAACATAATTGCCCCTTTTCTGGCCTGACCATCTCTAACCTCAAGTCTCCTTTACTCCCAAGAACAACAGTGAGCCCCAGCAAGGCAGGACAGTATTCCTCCACCCACTGCTCACCACCTGTACCCACCATCACCACCACCTACACCCACCACCACTATGTCCCATGAGAATTGTAGCTTCTTAGGAAGCAAGAATACCCAAGGTGTATGCCAAATCCAGGTTCCTTCTCTCTTTGTCCTTGTTTCTATGCAATGTTTTTGCCCTTGGCCTTTCTTTCATTTCCTATGTGTCTTAGCATATTCTTTACCCTTCACTCTGACCTTGAGCATATTTGTAAAGAAGCCACCATGCCCATCATTCTCTCCCTTTTGTCCTCAGGTGGGCCCCTTGAGCCTTAAAGAGTCTGGATTAGGACTTTGCGTCTTCCCCCTGAGCAGATGTAGTTCTCTCGGCCCCACCAGCTTTGGTAGACTCTGTAGAAGGCCTCTCACACCTTCCTCCCTCTTGTTGATGACCAACTCTGCCATCCTTTGTCTTGCCTTCTGAACTGTCCTCAGCAAAGCATTTTCTCAGGTCACACAAGATTCAAAAACATGCTACAGATGTGTTTTGTGTCCCTGAGGTCCAGGCTTTAAAGGCTCAGATATAAGGTTTCCTCCCTCCCTTTCTTTTTCCTGTTTCCTGAGTGGGAAGTATTGGTAAAGGGAGGGAATGGCATTGAGGTCAGAGAAGAGTGGGAGAAACGGGCATTTGCATTCATTCAGCAATAGTTGTTGAGTGTCTACTATGTGCTAGACACTGTTCTAGGCAGAGCTTGCATTTCAACGGGGGAACGGAAGTAAAAATAGATAAAAAGAATGAAGATAAACTGGAAAAAGTGAAGGCAGTTTTGCGATTGTCTGTACCTGTCACTGGTACCAGCAAGCACTGTCACCAACAACTGGAGGGTGGAGGGAAGGTGATATAATTCCTTAGCTGAGTTTGAATGGCAAATCCTGTAAAACATAAATGGGTCTGGCCTTGAGTCTCTTCTGAGACCAGAACAGGCCCCATGCCTACCTCCCAGAATCACCCCAGAGGTTGGGCATATACCTTCCCCCTTCTAGATGTGCTGACAGCGGAAATGCCAACCTCTCCCCTGAGGGCCAGTAAACCCAGTGGTGACAGGTTACTCACTGAGCCAAACTGGTTCTCCCTTCATCGCTTGTAATGGGAAAAATAGACTTGGCCTCCGAGCCTGGCACTACCAGGTTTGGCCACTCTTGGTTGTTTGTCTGGGTCCCAGTGCCTCCAGTTCCCACCCCTCTTCTCTGACCCCCCACTCTTGAGCCCCTTGGCTGTCGCCCTCCCCCACCCCAGCTGCTGTGTGTGCCAACCCCTACCCAGGAGAGAACGAAGCTCTTGGAAGGGGATAAATGGAGGCTCTGTGTAGGCTTGCAGCTGAAATGGCACTGTGCGCAGCCACAGATGGGCCTTCTCTCCCCCTCCACATTACTCCATCAACAAAGCATGACCTTGTTTGGATGACAGTCGCCCCATGTTTCCCCCATGACAATGCTTGCCTTGCCTTTACCTCCCAGTGGGTTCTCTCAGGACATCTCTGTTCCCTGAAATTGGGAAAGGGTGGTGGGGTGGGAGGCACTGCATCCATCAAAAGTCTGTTAAGGCCTCGGTTAGGAACCATGTGAAGTCTGAGATGAGAGTTAGGAGTCTCAGAGGGAGAAGCAGTGTGGGGCACTGAAAGAGCGTTGGTCTTATGAGAAGCTCTGGCTTCTGGACTTGGCTCGAGCATCTCCACTGTCCTGGCCTTCCCTTGACTGTTGCTGGACACAGACGTGAACCAAACTCTGCCCTCAAGGAGCTTTCTGACCTTTGGGGAGTCTTGTTTTTTTTTTTCTGCTAAGGCTGCTGGGGCTGAGCAGCAACCAGTTAGGATTCAGCCATTGCCTGTCTGACCTTAGACAAGTCACTTAACCTCTCTGGGCCTCAGTCTGCATCTCTATCGGATGGAGTTCGTAATATCTACCTCCTTCCCAGGGATGCCTTGAGGATGGAACAAGATGAGGAATGTCCTATAAATGGTGAGGTGATGTGTGTAATTATTATTAGTTGATACTAAGCCCAGTGGACTCTCTTGCCCTCTAGCACTGTGGTATGCTCACCAGGCCAGCAGTAGGTGGCATGGGCAGGGGCATTTCAAACCCTCACCTGGCCAGAAGAAACCTGCAGAACACAGGGTCTCCAGTGTTCCTCACATAACTTCTCAACATTTCTTGCAGATGAAAAGACTTGAGGCTTGAGAAGATTGAGTTACATGCCCAAAGTCTTGCAGTCAGACAGCAGTGGAGCCTGGTCTCCATCTGGGGTCTCGCAGACTCTAAAGTCTGTTCTCTGAGGAGTGAAAATGAAAGTCTGCAAATTTGGGTGTTTGATTATTAGTAAAAATTATTTATATCCTACTTTACCACATCAGGATGTCATGTTTGAGGATCAGTCACTGGTACCCAACACACTGGTATCCAAGGTGTTTCTGAGCCTTGTTCTCCAAGTCTTTCGGACTTCTAATTCCAACTCGTCTCATTGTTCAGTTTTGGCTATTTCCTCCTGTTTGCAGTAGCTCACCTGGCTGTCTTTTTCTCTGGCCCTCCTTTCTAGAGGTGGCGCGGAGCTCCTGTTCGATGGTGTAAAGAAGCATCAGGTCATCTTGCCTGGGCAAGAGGAGCCCTGTGAGTATTGGCCTTCTGAGCTCCTCTCTGGGGGGTATTGGGCAGGAGTCAGTCTGCCAGGATCACTCCCCTCTCTTCAGCTGGGAAGGGGTAGGAGTTCCCTGACCAGGCCAAGGAAGGAGGAGGGAGGAAGAGAGATGATCACCAGAGTTCTCTCCCCACACTCCTCTCTGGAGTCAGCCAGCTTTGCAGGAGGGAGGCAGTGTAGCTTAGTGCTATAATTATAAGTGTGGGATCTATATTCAGACAGCCTTGAGTTTAAATCCTGTTAGAACTTTAGGCAAGTAAGTTCACCTCTCTGAGCCTTAGTGTTCTTATCTGTGAGGTGGGAATGGTAATGCCTATCTCTCAGGGTTGTTAAAAGGAGCAAATAAACTATAATATATGTCTCTATTATTATTCCATGGCAGCAGAGAGATGTTCTCACGAAGATGGTAACCTTCATTGAGAATGGACTAATGTGGATGCAGTTACATTGTGACCAAGTGTTTAGATTAGAAGGAAAATATCCAGCCAAAAAGGATACTAGTCAAGAATGGCTGCCTAATGTGGCAAAATGTTACTATTACTAAATTTAGATGAAGGGTATATGGGTGTTCCTTGACTATTCTTTCAGCTTTTCCATCATTCAAAATAAAAAGTTGGAGAGTAGTTGACTGTGGGAGATAATGGATTTTTTTTCATTTGTTCATTCAAGTGCTTTTTTATTTTTTCGTTAACAAACATGTACTGGGCACCTCCTTTGTGGCAGACCACGTACAAGGCATTGGGGATTAAGACGTGAATAAAAGCCAAATTGGGACTTTTGTGAAGAGTTAACTTGCAGAGGTCCAGCTGGATATTGTGGACTGCAGAGGACTGGATATTGTGACTGTTGAGGTCCTTTGCACCCTAGCAGTGGATCTCAGCAAGAGCAGAATGCTCAGGGATAGAGTCCAAGCTCCACTTATGGCTGAGATATTTCTAGTGAGAAAAGGGAATCAATCATATGAGGAGGTGGGGGGATGAGATTCCTGGAGGTGGGCAGTTGAAAATGTTCAAGTGAGGTTTGACGGAATTCTGGAACTGGACATATTCATATTTCTGCCAGTTTAGGCAGACAGTTATTGCCCAAATTCACTGGCTGCCAGTGGGGCTCTCTGACCTTCCCTTAGGACAGGGAGCAGTGGCACGTGGTAGGTCTGTCTGCCACACTCAGAAACTTGGGGACACTTACCGAGGAATAGGGCACTGCCCACATTGAGCCGGGGGTGGGATTGTGGGATTATGTGTGTTTCTGGTGGGGGAAGGCGTGTGACGGTAAAGGTGACTGTGCCTTAGTTTGACAGATGGCCACACAACCATAGCAGCCTTGGGAGGGAACAAGGGGATCTCAGAAGAAACCTTTCAAGGATTCAGTCTTAAAGACCTCACTGGTGATTGATTTCCTCCTGAGTTTGCTTGGCATGAAAGTTCACAATTTTTCATAATTCCAGCCCCATTTTCATTTATTCATTGACTGAGTGCTCACCAAGTGCCACGTATGATAATAAGGACTTCAGTCTTTCATTTAGTTGGCAAATATTTTCCGAGTTCTTCCTTTGTGCCAAGCACTATACCAGTTACTGGGTAGTCAGTGTTGAGCAAAACGGATGTGATTTTGCGATAATAGAGCTTGGTGTAATTGGGGTGGAGCTAGGCAATAAACAAACAAATGTATAATTATATCATTACATATTGTAGTAATTGCGATGAGAAGAACAAAAGGGTGTTCTCACTGAGACTAACAGGTGGTCAGGGAAGGCCTCTTTAAGGAGGTAATGTGGAAGCTAAGTTCTGAAGGATGAAAAGAAGCTGACCTAATAAATTGTGGAAGGAGAGCAAAGGTGCATGGAGGCCCTTTGCAAGCAAAGGGACAGCACTTGTGAAGGCCCCAAGGGGCAAAAGGGCTTGAGGTGGTCAGAACTGAAGGAAGGCCAGCGTTATAGGGGCACAGGCTGAGTTTTGAGCAGTAGGCAAAGCCCCAAATGGTTGCGCATATAATTGTCCCAAATGGGGATAAACCAAAACCATTGCTGTCGATAGCTACCATTATTGTTCCCATTTTAAAAAGTGGAAACCAAAACTCAGAGATGTAAAGGGTCTTACCCCAAGTCATACAGTTATTTAAATGGCAGAGCTAGAATTCACACTCAAGATTTCAGGGTCTCCAGAGTCATTGTACTGTGCCTCTAACCTGTCACCATTTATCCCAAAAGGCTCCCTGAATCACTGTAACATCTCATATCTATAATATATTTTACAGTTTTTAAACTTTCGTTCATCATTTATTCATGCCTTATTATTTATTTTAATTTCATAATGACCCTGGTAGATATTATCAAGGAAACCAAACCTCAGAGAGGGAGACAGAGAATGACCTGTCTAGAATTACCCAGGTAGGGAGGGGTGGAGGCTGGGCTAGGACCCAGGATTTTGACTTCTCATCTGCCATCCACTGAGTAGAGGGCAGGTGGGGATCTATCCTTCCCCTTCTGGGATTAAAGGAAGGGAAGAGGGGAAGGAAAGCCGAAATGGCCCTTCCTCAATCTTGGGTCCTTGGCTGTGGATCTCTACTCCTAGTTCCCATTTGTGCCTTGCTGTGCCCAGAGGCATAGGTCACATCGCCACCACAGAGCTAGGAGGCAGCTGCCAGGCCCTACCCTGGCATGTGGGCCCAATGGGAGGGCAGAAGTCTTACTCTTCCCCCACTCTCATGCCCAGAGCTGTTGTCTGGCAGCCTTCCCAGCCTAGGGGCTGCCACTTGGCCAAGCAGGTCTTGGAGACTCCAGCAGAAAAAATAGCAGCCATAAGATATGGGTTGTGACAAGTCTCACAAACAAGAGGACTCCAGGGCCCTGGGTCCTGGGCCAGGAGAGAGCTTCCAAATGGCCAACATGAGAGAAGAGAATGTGAGACAAGGAGGCCAAAGTGGGTGTGACTGCAAGAGAGGAGCCCAGCTGGGTGGGATTGCAAATCATTTATTTCTGGGGCCTCTTTATTTCCATCTATAAAATGGGGAGGTTGAGCTAAGTTAATTGTTTACTGAACTGGATATCTGACATCTACATTTTCAAAAAGGTTGCTTCCAGCTCTAAAAAAAACAACCCAGTTGCCACTGAGTAGATTTCAACTCACGGCCACCCCGTATGTGTTAGAGTGGAACTGTGCTCCATGGAGTTTTCAGTGGCTGATTTTTCAGAAGTAGATCCTCAGGCCTTTCTTCCGAGGCACCTCTGGGTGGGCTAGAACTGCCAACTTTTCAACTCCCTTCCAGCTCTAAGTATATACAGTTCTGTGAAGCAGGACCCGTTGATCCAGTGAGAGTTACTTATGTGTGGAGGGGAGACGTCTTGACAGCCAACCCAATGGAACAGGCTATCTCCTTTGATTGGCAGTGGTGATAGGCACCTAGGGGTTCATGAGCATTGTGGCTTTTATGACTCAGGGATCCCGTCAACTCAAAGCTTGCCCTCCTTTGATATTCTGAGCTTCCGCACACTCTGCTCAGTGGCCTGGCACCCTGGGGACATGCTCAGACAGCTTTGGAGGGTGGGGTTCAGTCAACCAGCCTGTGGTTGTCAGTGGCCTAAAGCAAATCCAAAACTTCAGGGGGTAGACTGTCCCAGCAGAGGGCATTACCTACACTGGTCCCCAGCAGGAGAAATGTCTGCCTCATCTTTCCCTGCCCCTTTCTCTGCCCTGCCATTGTGCCCCCTCTGCCTGCTCTGCTCACATTAAAGGGTGGCTGGTGGGGGAGGGGGGAGCTGCAAGGGAGCTCCTGAGCGCTTTAAACTGCTTAGCATGCGCTTCACAGCCTCTCTGGTGCCAGCTGTTCCTTTCTCTGCTCTCAAGGCCTGTTTGCTGATCCCCTCCCTACCTCCCTCCTCTCCCCCTCCTCCTACCTCCCAGCCCCTGTGCAAAATTGCTTTTGAAAAGATCCACTTTCTGCTTAATTAAACAATGAGGAGCGTCCCCTCGCACATCTGTAAACCTCCTTCTGAGGCCAGTTTAGCCCACAAACTGCTCCATTCTTAGCCCCATTCACTTGTAAATGGACCCTCTGATGTTCTCTGCACCAACACCGGCCCCCCCTCCCCCCGTCTCTCCTACTCCCTCATCCCAGCTCTTTCTTCTCCGTTTTCATCTAAGGCCTGGGTTGGGCTCCCAGAAGTGCCGGGTCTTGGAGCCTGGTGGACTTGGTGGGACGGGCAGTTTAACTGATAGTAGAGGCTTAAGGGGTCAGTCTCTGTCTTCCAAATCTGGAGGGCCATTGTGGGGAAAAAGGGACACATTTTTTAGTGTGGTCCCTGTGGACCGACTCAGCCCAGTGGGTGGAAATGACAGGAAGACAGAGTTCTGCTTGGGATAAAAGAGCTTTTAGCTGTCAGAGCTGCTGCACAGGGGAGTTGACCGTCATGTCCCTGGAGCTGTTCAAGAAGAGGCTGGATGAGGGCTTGCTGGGTCTGTTGCAATCGGGATTCAAGAAGGACCTTCAGGTTGTTCCCTTCCAGCCCCAAGACACTAGGATTCACACCCTTGGGGACCCTGCCACAGTGGGTGGTTGGTGTCCACCAGACAAGTCCACCGGGGTGAAGGATTCTGGTGGAAGCTTTTGTAGGTGCTCTCTAAGACAGGTATGCCATGGTGCCCATTTGCCAGCAGCCTTTAGGAGAGTCTGGCAGCTGAGAGAGTAAGGAATCCAAAGTCACTGTGCATATACGGCTCAAAGCACCCATCTATTGAGCATGTCCTGTGTTTGACCCTGTGCTGGGTGTGCTGCTGCCATCCTCACAGCATCTTTTGGAATTCAGATCATTATTTCTGCTAAGATTTAGAGAGGTGAAATGGCTTCCAACCCAAGGCCACCTAGCACACAGCCCTGGTGTTTCTGGCTCCAGAATCTGAACTCTTAACCATTCTACCACAGAGCAGCAACTACCGTCACGTCTTCTTCCCCAAATGGGTGATTCAGGTCCCAA